TGGTTAGAGACTTCCTGGACACGTGCTGCCGGCTGGCAGCATGCCCCGAGCCATGTCCAAAGTGACCTCATGCTCCATCATAGCCGGGGAGTGACTCAGGAGGAGCCTGGCCTGACACTGTCAGGCGGTGTCTGGTTCGGGCACCCCCACGCTATTGTCCTCCTTCCTCCCCCACCCCACGCTGGCTCTTCCCCCACCCCATGTTCCCAGCACCCTCCAACAGAGGGGGATTTTGAAGCGTTTGCAGGTAGAAGAGGTAATGCCATAAGGGGACGTGGTCTGAGGACAGGGAGAGCTGTGGGAGGAAAGATCCCTGGTCATGGAGGTCACAAATCGTCCCCACCCGCCCAGTGTCCCGGCACTGTGCAGAGCAAGCACAAAGACAAATGGAGAGTGTTTGGTGTGGGCTGATGGGCTCCTGGAGAGCCCTTTCTAGCAGGCAGGGTGCTGTGTGGCTGTTCCCCCACCCGGGAGAAGTGACACAGCTCTGACACAGGGGATCTGCATCAGTTCCTGTCCCCGCCACAAGCTCCTGTGGGACTCTGAGCAGTTTGTGTGCATGTGCCCATGATGGCCAGGGGAGCGCGTCCTGTCTGGGAGGTGACTGCAGAGGCAGTTTGGGGTCTCCAGGGTCTGCCCCATGTCTCAAGGGCTCAGCTGTACCTGAGATGCCCCCCGCCCCATCCTCCCCAGCACCTCTCCTTGCTTTGGGTACTGGCTGTGCTGGAGGGTCTCTCTGGTGCTGTGGGACCAGCCGGACCACTCGCAGGCCGGGGCAGGATGTTATGTGAGAGAAACGCACGTGGTTTCCACTCTTGGTGTAAAACTGTACCCAGAGAAGCATTAGGGGAGGCCAGGATGCTGGGGAGGTGATGAGCCCAGGAAGCCGGGCTGGGGCTGGAGACAAGGCGCTGTGCGGAGGGCAGCCCAGCTAAGCACAGCACCATGGAGTCTGCCTCCGTCCTGCAGCCGCCCATGCCTTTCCCCTGCTCCCATCCGGTGATGCCGTGCTCAGGGACCAGAAGGAGCACAGGTGAAAGCAGAATTGTGGGGTGTCAGGTCCCAGCTCTTTGGGGGGATCTTTCCAGAGAAGTGCTGAGACCACTGGAGATGTAACCATCACGCTTCTTTAGGGAACCTGGGAGGGGGCACCGCCAGCGGTGCAGGGGTAGAGACAGGGCTGGGGACATCCAGCAAGGGCAGCTTTTTTTGGACTGGAAGGGTTAAGCCCCGGTCCTGACCCCCACCTCCTACTGTCTTCTGGACAGCAGAGCCAGTTGGTGACAAGAGGCTGATGCTGATGAGGGAGCATGTGAAGCTGGAGCTGTGAATGGGGCTTTATCCCCGGAGGGACCTGCCTCTTCTCCCTCCCTGCCCTGCTGCCAGCACCAGCTGCAGGCAGAGTCCTGTGCCAGTAGCCTCTGAGCGGGGCTGAGGTCCCCCCACAGCGTGTGGAGGTCTGTGCGTGGCTGATCTGTGCTCCAACGCACAGGGCTTTTTCAGGGGAGGCAGGGGAAGGTCTGAAGGCCAGCCTGGAGCAAGCAAGGCCCAGGGTTTGGTAGGAGATGGTTTGGTAATGTGGGGCAGGGTCTCTAATGGTATCTTCTCTTCTTGACTGTTTCAGATGAAAGACACAGGAAAGGAAGGACACAGCCCTGCTTGTTCCCTTACGGTGCTGCTCTGGGGATGCTCCACCGTGTCCTGCAGCCCTGCCTGGGGGGTGGGCTCAGCCCCAGCACATGGACCGTAGCTCTCCAGGTGGCACTGCTGCAGAAGGGAGCTCTACCTGGCTCCAAAGAATGAGACAGAGGCGTCCCCACTTGAGAAATGCAGCTGCCTTTGCAACTGCTGCCGCCTTGACCCTCCACTTCGCTGGAAGGGTGTAGATTCATCTGTGCAACCACCCCACCGTGCCCTCCCTGTCCAGCTGCCCACCATGCCGGAGCTGGCAGAGCTGAGCAACCCCCGCAGCCCTGCAGACGCGGACCACATCCAGAGGAACATCTTGGAGGAGCATGTGGAGCTCTGGTGGTTCCAGGACCCCAAGAAGTCCATCCTGTGCTATGGGATGGCTGTGGTGCTGATCCTGGCCTGCGGGATCGGGGGCATCATCCTGCTGTACAGCACCAGCAGCCGGTCTGGGGAGTGGCGGGGGGGGCGGGGGGCGCCCCCCCCGCCCCC